TTCACTTCGTTCCAACTGAGTATCAACTCGCTGACCTTTTCACCAAGCCTCTTAATGAGACAAGATTTAATATCTTGATCAGCGAATTGGGCATGTTGAACAGTGAATATCAATCTTCAGTCATTAAACATCACTCAGTAAGTGAAATGATTCAGTGCTCTATCTCTAACACTGAACTCTTGAGTAAATATATCTATTCTCTCTAAGGTATGATTACTCTTCTCTTTTCTCAACTTAAAACCTTCACTGAAGCTTTCTTTTTTCAGTGATAAATGTTTTAAAAGGTGGTCTCAGTGATTCTCWACACTCACCACATCTTCAAGTATATCTTTATACTTATCTTAAAAATCTAAAAGTTCACTGAATCCTTTCTTATCAGTGATCATAACGTTTTTTAAATGCCAGTTTCAGTTACTCTCTTATCATTAAAACATGATGTCTTAAAACCATTACTAAATATTTCTCTTCAGTGATAAAATGTTTTAAACAGGGTTATCAGTGTTCCCTAAGACACTGAATGACTCTTCGTTTTCTTAAAAACCTTTTTGTTTTTAAAAGAAAATAGTAAATGAACCGTCTTTATGACGACATTCCCTATTTACTATGCGGGACGCTTTGAGACGCGCAAAAATTTCTGTCATTACGCTACCTCATTAAATGTCATCCAATCATGGATGAGAACGTGGTATATTTTTCATCATGACCACTTTCCCGAACCGTCGTCTTTTCTCTCTCTCATATTATTTCTCTCTTCTCCTACCTATAAATATGAGACCTCTTCTCCACTTTTCTCTTTACACTTTCAAAATTCTTAGACGAACCTCTGCTAAGATTTCTCCAAAGCAAGAACTCTCTCTACATCTTCAAACCCTTTGCGACCTTTCCTCTTAATCTTCAAAGGTCAAAATATTCCTCATTCTTTCTTAATTACAAGAAATGTGTTTAATATGATTAAGAACTGTGGTGTGTCTACACTCCGCTCAGCTCTCCGTCTTCCCAAGGGTCCCTTCGACAGTGAACCCTCCACCACCGAGATCATCAACTTTCTTGATGCCATTGGCTACTAGTGGCCAATGAAGAAGGACTCCAACGCCCCTCTGAAGTCCTTGACGAAGATTGAGAAAAAGGATGTCAGCTATCTGGCAATACCTGTTTTCTCATTTTATCTAGTGCATGGGTGGAAAAACTGGAGGTCAGGACCAGGCCTCTAGGATCGCCTTGATCATAGGCGTATCTGCGATTCAGCGTCGCAATATAAATTATACTGCGGTCATTTTCGATGACCTGGTGCTCAAGCTGAACAAGCACCAGCTAGAACACCAGGTTTCTTTCGATGGTGTTCTCAAATATCTTTAAAGCTCTTTACCCCAAAGAAGGAAACCTTCCGGTTTTCAAACTTGGATCCAGGATTCTGGATCATAAAATGAGGGATAGTGATGTGGCACTATCTTCCATTATGTCATTCACTACCTCTTCTCCTCAGGTGGCCATGACAAGGGAAACCCCCCTGCGTCTAGCCAAGTTACCAAAACCCCTTCAAAATGACCCTCTCAACCAACTCTTGGTTCTCCTCAGAGAGCCAAGAAGTCCAAAAAAGGGACAACCACGTCACTAGTTGGGGCCTCTCAAAAGGCTTTAGTTATTGAACTAGCCTTATCCCCGAGGCGTCTTCTGTTAACCCTCTCAGCTCTTCAGTGATTTCTCCCATCACTATCGTATCAGTGGTACCTTCACCAATCACTTCAGTGACCCAAATCACTGAAAGTGTAAATATCAGCGCCGCCACCGCTGAACACTCACGTCTCTTCTCGACCATTTTCATTTCTCCTCCTTCCTTGGTCTTTACACATGTCGATGATGTATCAGCGACTGTCCTTCCTGATACTGAGACACGCACCACTAGACCTGAGGTTGCTCCTCTCGATGCTCCTCTGCATACGGATGTCCATCCTCTCGAGGACATCTTTGCTCACGCCAGTGACAATCCTTTAGATGTCACTGATGGCCCCTCAGGCRTTCCATCTTCCTACCCTTTCTTTTCTTCTAACCTTGAGCCTTCAGCTCACACTTCTTCTTTTGCAGGTCCTTCTTCGATGCATTAGTCTGATGCTCAGGAAGTGGAAGAGGAAGAAAGAGAGAAAGATGATAAAGGAGATGAAGCGATCGATGATGCCTATGATATGGCATCAGACATCAAACCTCTCCTTCCAGCCGTTGATACCGTCCTCTGCAGGATTAACGAAGTTCACCAAGAGATGCCCTGTCAAGGTGATCTTGATGCGAACTTCCTTGCCCTCCAAGCGGATGTTCAAGAAGTTCAGAGTCATCTCCAGACTCTCCAAGAAGTTGTTCAAGCCAACAACGACGCCATTGTTGTTCTTCACAGCAGGGCTAACGATGCTCAGGCTATAGCAGATCAGTAGACTGGTCTTCTTCAACAGATCCTGGATGCTGTCTGTCAACCAGCTCCAGTGATCGCACCCTCTTTCTCTGCCAATGATCGCGCCCAGCTCCATGAGACGTGTGAGGCAACGACAACTCTAGCCAATGCTTTGCTAAGGTTGGAGGATTCAATGGTTCTCCAGCGTCAGCACTTGGATGAACTCTCTGGCCAATTCTCTCAAGTCTTAGCCAGAGAGGGGGAGATGAGGTCCAACGCTGGTGAATCATCCGATGCTGTGCCTACCCCTTCTCAGGCCGTTGATCCAGTATCAGCTACAGCTTCAGTTGAAGCTGAGGCTCCTAGAGCAGAAGCAGTTGTTGCTCCTATAATCCCGACCACCGAAGCTGCTCTAGCTGAGGATGTCGA